ACCGAAACTCTTCAGGATTCTGCTTGTGCCAGCGGTGCTGATTAGACTTCTGGGCTCATGAAGTCTAAGCCCCCCAGTGTCGACTCTTCCAAATTTGAAAAGAAATGATGCTAAATGAAAGGCCAAAGGCGTCAGTGCTGGGGTCAAGGTCCCTGGGCCCCCATTTCCAGAGGATAAGTGAGGGTTCAGTTGGTTTTTCGCCTACTTTTCCTATGTGTCCAATAAAGAGGCTTTTTGGAGAGTGGGGAAGTGGAGATGGTCTCTGCTCTTCCTCCCTGACTTACTGAAGCTCAGGCAGGGAGCAGAGGCAAGGCTAAACTCAACCTCAGGCTCTTCCTTCCACTCTAGACTCAGCTTTCTTTGAGGCCTTCAATGTGGGTTTTGAGGGGCCTTTAGTTTAAGGGGCTTTCAGCACACACTCCTCCTTCCTACTTGGGAGAACTTTGGAGGAAATCACTTGTGTCCATCGGAACCGCGGTTTCCTTATCCAGAAAATGGAGCTCAGCACAGCTATCCAAGCTGTCATGTGAGCATTGGAAATTATATTTGGAAAGAGTCCAAAACAGGCATCCAGAACGGGAGTGACACCGCCCCCAAGCGGGTGAAAATTGGTTCTTGAAGTGGCAGAACTATCTTACTTTGTTTCTGTATAAAGGCTGATATTCACAGAGAACATAAAAAACTGTATGCTTGTGACGAGGGGCCTTGATGGTACTACAGTTAAAGTGTCATGTTGCCAACTGAAAGGTCGGTGGTTTGAACCTACCATCTGCTCTGCCAGAGAAAGATACAGCAGTCTGCACCATAAAGATGGCAGTCTTAGAAAACTTATCAGGCAGTTCTGTCCTGTAGGGTCGCTGTGAGTCAGACCTAACTTTATGGTGCAGGTTTTATAAATCTGTGATTGTTAAGTGCCACCAAGTTTATTCCAATTCATAGCGACTCAGTAGAGTTTCCGACACTAAATCTTTATGGGAGCAGAAAGCCTTCTCTTTCTCCGGCAGAGCAGCTGATGGACTCAAACTGTGAACGTTGTGCTTAACCTTCCAGTACTTATCCTATAGAGCCACAGTGAGCTGTTAAAATTAATAGGTGGGGGCAGTTAGGGAGAAGCAAATGTCTACAAAGACTCCTTCCCCAAAACCTGTTGCCCTTTTGGGTATTGGGTCAGAAGATCCTGGCCTGGCCCAGTCTCTGTCCGTGGTGCTCATTGTGATCATAGCACAGTGCAGCATCTCTCAGAGCAAAGGAGGTCCTGGTCAGCTCAGTGAGGGACTGGATCTCGGTTCTCTGATTCCCTGGTCCTGCCTGCTAGATTAGTTGAGGGTCCAGCAGTAAGCAGATGGCACACTCTGAGCAGGATGATTTGAGAAGGGTTGATAAAAGGCCTCTTATGAAGATGTGGCAGGTGTGAGGACCTCAGAGCTAGTGACATCCTAGGCTGATCCATCAAGGCCCTACAGAGGAGGAGAGGGCTCAAGACGGGATTGGTGGCTCTTCATTCCCCCAGTTTATTGTTGTTCAGCATCATTGTTGTTAAGTTGGTTTGGACTCACAGCATCCCTATATAGGGTTTCCGAGGAGTGGCCGTTGAGTTTGAATCGCTGATCTTGTGCTTTGAAGTGCCTTGAGGTTGAGTGTTTATCCTTCGGTGCCACACCAGGACTCCCTCATCTGTTGTTAAGTGCTGTCGAGTCAGTTCTGACCCATAGCAACCCTGTATAGAGTTTCCGAGGAGCAGCTGGTGAGCTTGAACTGCCAACCTTGTGGCTCAAGCCAAGTTTGCAGTTTAGTACATTAACCCACAGCGCCACACCAAGACTCTCCCCCCACCCCCCTTATCTGTTAAGACTCCCCATTTATCAAACCTCATGGAAGATGGAGGGTCAGGGAGCTTGACTGATATAGGTCAGCCTCCTCAAGTAGAAAGAAGGCAGACCAGAGAAGGATGGAGAATAGAATGAGGGCCAATGGATGGTACCATAGTTCCCCTTCAGGTTCCATTGGAGTGCAGGGCTCTGCCCTGGGTATGAACTGGAAGGCTAAAAAATCATGGAGCAGAGTGACTGCCTTGCCCCACACAGCCTTTTCACAGGGACCCCTACTGTCTAAGGTGAAGGGAATGTGGGCAGGGCTCATGTATTGAAGATTAAAGCTATTTGGGGAGTACCTAAGAGAATCCCGGTGTGGTTCTGTGGGCTAATGCGTCAGACTGCAAAGTCGTTTGAACTGCAAGGTTCAAGCTCACCAGCTGCTCCTTGGAAGCCCTGTATAGGGTTGCTATGGGTTGGAATCGACTCGATGGCACTTAGCAACAACAACAACAACAACGAAAGAGTCATTATTATAGGCCTATTGAATTGAGGGAGGAGGATGGTCAAGTTTCCTTCTCTGGTCTCCCTCCATTTTCTCATCTGTTAAATGAGAGTCTGGACCAAACAACATTGGAGATCCTCCTGACTGGGACCCAGAAAATAGGCAGTGGGGTGCTGGGCAGGTGTGGGGGGCATCAGTGTTGGTGAGGTCTTGGAGGAAAGGCAGCCTCATTGGGTTCCTGGCATCCTACTTGTCTGTGTCTCCCACTGGGAGTCATGAGGTCCCACCATTCAGGAAGGGAGAGTAGAACTGTGCCCAAGTGTGTGGTGGGGAGGGGTAGCTCTTGAGGGGTGACTGGAGGCTCTTGTGGATCCTTAGGTGAGGGAGGATGGATTGCTGGATCTGACAGCCAGTTTCCTTGCTTGCAGTGGGCACTCAACATTTGTTAGTTGCAATGGTGGACACATGGAAGATCAGACACTGGGTGCCTGGTTAAGGGTGTGGGACCAGATACAGAGCCAACCATCTTTCTGCCACATGGGGCTCACAGCCTGGAAAGGGAGCAGGAAAACAAGTAGCACATCTGATGTGGGGGTGGGTGAGCCATTCTGCTTAAAGTGGTCCCCTGAAGAGGAAGGGGCGTTGCCCGGACTTGCAGGATGGCTAAGTTCCCATGTGAGGAAGGGAATTACAGGCAGAGGTAACAGCAGAGGTAAAAGCATGGAGGTGGGATGTGCTGGCATCAGGGCAGGTACAATACAGTGAAGCATGGTGGGGGGAGAAGCCAGAGAGGGTAACAGATAGGATGACTTGGGTGCCAGGGTGAGGAATTCATTCTCTTCTAAGGGCCTGAGGATTTTGGAAACGATTGACTTGGGTCCTGTTGCATCTGTCTGAGCCTGGGCCATCCCATCTCCCACCTCTACTCCATGCCTTTCCCTGGAGGGCCACTGAACTCAGAGCTCTGCTTCCAGCTAAGATTTCTTTGGATCCTAAGACTGGGCCCTGGGCTGGTTGTTGGGGAGCCAGGAACTCAGCAGCCAGTAAGGCTGGGCTCAGACACACCTGGTTCCACTCTCCTACCTTGCTGTCACTAGCTGTGTGACCTTGAGTGAATGTCCTGAGCCTTAGATTCACTCCCATGAAACTCAGGTGGAGGTGATGTGTGCCGTCACAGAGCACAGGTGAGCGCTGAAGGGAGCTAGTGAAAGCAGACTGGGGGAAACCTTCAGGGAGAGTGGAATGAGGGAGGCTCTAACCTTCCATAAGGAAAGTGATGAAGGCCTTAAGAGATGAAGGGAGACACTAGGCTGAAGAAGACCCATGTGAGTAAGAAACTCTCCTGGAAGAGGTGTCCCAGGGCTGGGTATACCATATCTGAGCCCAGTCTTGACTCCTGTCCTCAGTCCTCTCAGTGGTCAGCTGGCCTGAACCAGTAGGCAGTCCGTCTCCCCAACTCCCAACATGGCTTTGCCTGCTTGACTCTTGGCCAGGGATCTGGATTGGGATCTGTCCTAGCTAGGCAAGGGGCTTGACTCTGCCCATCCATTCCTCCACGGGCCTCTGCCTGACCTGGTCAAATGGACCGGAAAGTGTAGACTGCCCCTAGTATCCTGTTCTGCCTTGGGAAAGAGCTAGCTTATTGTATGAGTACCTGGGTCATATGTCCCTGCAGAATCCACCCATGCATGGTGCACATCAACAGGTGAATGTTTGCCTAAGTTTGTCTGGGTGTACACCTCCAACTGTAGTCCCTGTGTACTCGCAGGTACGAGAGGAAATCTCTGCCCAGTCGTTTTACTCTGCCAGTTGACAGGGTTTTCCAAGTGACCCCACGCACCAGGCTCCACTGAGGGTCTTAGGTATACGGAGATGAAGCTGGCTGGGCACCCAAGTTAAGGAGTTCCGAAGGTGCGCAAAGGAGTCACACACCCACACACTCACATGCATGAACACACACAGTTGTAAAATGCGAGTGTTGAGAGGAGAGACTTGAGTGTGGCTGTTGCTCTCCAAGGCACCATAGAAGGCTGTGGCTGAAAGGCTGCAGGGCTGCAGCGTGGGTCCAACTGGCAGAAGGGACTCAGAAGGAGTCCTGGGGGTATGGCTGGAATGCAGGAAACGGGACAGCCAGTACCAAGTGTGGGGTGGAGGAGACAGTGAGGGCAGTGGCCTGGTGGCCCACCTGAAGGCACTTCGACTATTTTATTTAGGAGGGACAGTGGCATTTGAATGAGTCACCATTACTTAAAAATCAGAATATTTCATCTTTTAAAAATTCCGAAGTCCAGCTTTTGGAACTGTGGGACCTCCTTGCTACAAAGCAGTAAGTAGCTGGATTCCCGTAGCTGGTTACTCCTCTTCGTTTTGTTAACCTGCCTGGCCTCCGCAGGGGTTCCATATTCCCAACCCCTGGAAAAGAAGGTCCAGATGGAAGCCTGAGGCCATATTGGAAAGAACTTGAAAAGTCATCTAAGCTCCCACCCAGTGCTCATCCCAGGAGAGGAACTCAAGTCAGTTACCTTGTGTTTCGCTGGCTCTAGTGACAGGGAGCTCATTACTTCACAAACGAATGGCTTGAAGTGTGGGTTTGGGGGACCCTATTGTCTATTGATCTGGGCAGGACGGGAGTGGAAGGGTAGCCTTAATGGTCGTCTTTCAACCTTGATCCCTTCTGTTGACAGAGTCGCCCCAAGAAAGGCCGGGCTCCCGGCGCAGCCTGCCCAGCAGCCTCTCAGAGAAGAACCCCAGCATGGAGCCCACAGCTGCTACGCCATTCCGGGTTACGGTAACTATCTCTGCGTCAGCTCTGCATCTGCTGCCAGCTCCATCGCTCGGGGGGGCTACTGTGCGGCCCCACAACCCCTCTTCCTGGAGCCTCTAGGTATCCAATCACTGGCTGTTACCCTCCCTGTGACTCTGCCCCACTCTGGGGGCCATGTGCAGGCCCCATCCTCTGGGGGAGGGGACAGGCAGAGGACAGACAGCCCTGAAGGCCAAGAGGCCCAGAGTTGAGCTGGTCCCTGGAGAGCAGAGGTCAGTGTTAAAACAGCTAAGTGTTCCTTCATCTGTATAGGTACACACTGCTTCCTCAGCTCTTAAGATGCAGTTTTTGCTTCTGTAGTTTAACATCTCTGAAAGTGAGACATACTTTAGACTTGATAGCATGGCATAATTTAATTGTGGTGGTTTTTTCTTTTATAGCGGTGCCATAGAATGGATGATATCTCTTAGCTATTGGATTTAGCAAGCCCCATGAGCACATGCTTTTTAAATTTGTATTTTAAGGTATATGTGTGTATATATGTATCATACAATTTTCTGTTTTAACCACTTTTAAATGGTTAAATTTTTACATGTTATACAATTCAATAATAGTAATTATATTCACAATGTAATATAGCATTCACCATTAACTGTTTCCAAAATTTTACAACACTCCAAACAGAAACTCTACCCATTAAACAATACCTCTCCTTTGCTCACTCTCCCTACCTCTGTTAGTCTCTGGTCTGTTTTCTGCCTTTATGAATCCACCTATTCTAAGCAATATTTGGAGTCTTGGTGTGGCACTTTAGGATGAACACTAGACTGCTAACCGAAAGTCAGCCAGTTCAAACCCACCAGTGACTCCTTTGGAAACTCAATGAGTTGGAACTGACTTGATGGCACTTAGCAACAACAACAACAACAACAGCAAAACAATGTTTAGGACTCTTGGTGTGGTGCTGTAGGATAAGCTAACCCTAAGGTCGACAATTCAAATCCACCAACCATGCCTTAGAAACCCTATCCTGGGTTGCTATGAGTCAGAACCCATTGTAGGACCCTTAACAACAATAAGAAGCAATATTTACCCTTTTGTGTCTGGCTTATTTTACTTAGCATAATATTTTCAAGGGTTACCCGTGTTGTAAAATATTTCAGTACTTCATACATTTTAATGTCTAAATAATATTCCATTCAGTACTTCATTCCTTTTAATGTCTAAATAATGTATATGCCCATAAATGTATATGCCACATTTTGTTTTTCCATTCATCTCTTGGTGTAGACATTTGGGTTGTTCCTCCCACCTTTTGGCTATTATAAATAGTGCTGCTATAAAAGGAATTGCCAGAAACTCAAGCTAGATTCAGAAGAGGATGTGGAACTAGGGATATCATTGCTGATGTCAGATGGATCTTTGCTGAAATCAGAATACCAGAAAAGTATCTATCTGTGTTTTGTTGACTGTGCAAAGACTTTCAGCTGTGTAGCTCATGACATGCTATGGATAACATTGTGAAGAATGAGTATTTCAGAATACTTAAAATCTGTACGCAGACCAAGAGGCAATTATTTGAATAGAACCAGGGGACACTGAATGATTTGAAATTAGGAAATGTGTGGGCCAAGGCTGCGTTCTTTCATCATGATTACTCAGTCTGTACGCTGAGCAAATAATCTGAAAAGCTGGATTATATGAAGAAGAGCATGGCATCAGGATTGGAGGAAGACTGATTAATAACCTGTGATATGCAGATGACACAGCCATGCTTGCTGAAAGCGAATAGGACTTAAAATACTTATTGATGAAGATCAAAACCCACAGCCTTCAGTATGGATTACACCTCAATGTAAAAAAAACAAAAATCCTCGCCACTGGACCAATAAATAACATCATGATAAATGGAGAAAAAATTGGAGTTGTCAAAGATTTCATTTCACTTGGATCCACAGTCAATACTCATGGAAGCAGCAGTCAAGAAATCAGGTGACGTATTGCATCAGACAAATCTGCTGCACAAGACCTCTTTAAATTATTCAAGAGCAAAGTTATCAATTTAAGGACTAAGGTGTGCCTGACCCAAGCCATGCTATTTTTAGTAGGCTCATATGCATGTGAACATTGAACAATGAATAAGGAATATTGTAGAAAAATTGATGTGTTTGAGTTACGATGTTGGAGAAGAATACTGAAAGCACTATGGACTACTGAAAGAACAGACATGTCTGTGTAGGAAGATGTAAAGCCAGAGTGCTCCTTGGAGGTAAGGACAGCAAGACGTAGTGTCTCATCCTTCAGACGTATTATCAGGAGGGACCAGTCCCTGGAGGAGGACATTGTGGTTGGTAAACTGAAGGGTCAGCCAAAAAAGGAAGACCTCCAACGAGATAGATTGTCACAATGGTCCCAGCAGTGGGCTCCAGCGTAACAATTGTGAGAATTGCATGACTGGGCAGTGTTTTGTTCTGTTGTGCATAGGGTCGCTATGAGACGAAATCAGCTTGACAGCACCTAACAACAACATTGGTGTACATATATCTGTTTGAGTTGTTGTTGTTGTTGCTAAGTGCCGTTGAGTTGATTCCTACCCAAAGCAACCTTGTATAGGGTTTCTAAGGATCAGCTGGTGAGCTTGAACCACTGACCTTGCAGTTCAAATGACTTTGCAGTCTGAATGCATTAGCCCACAGCGCCACACTAGGATTCCATCTGTTTGAGTAGCTGCTTTCAATCTCTTGGGTATATATCCAGGAATGGAATTGCTGGGTCATTTGGTATTTCTATATTTAACATTCTATGCAACCATCACACTGTATTCCACAGTGTTTCTACCATTTTACAAGCAACGCATTCAAGTTTTTAAAAATTATAAACTCTAATGACTGTATGGAAACAACCCAACCCAAACCAAACTAAGCCCACAGCTGTCAAATCTATTCCAACTCATAGCGAACTGATAGTGCAAAGTAGAACTGTGCCGTAGGGTCTCTGAGACTGTAAAACTTTTACAAAAGCAGGCTACCACATCTTTCTCCAGGGGAGCAACTGGTGAGTTTGAACCTCTGACCTTATAAGAAGGCCAACATTTAACACACTGCATCACCAGGGTTCCTTAAACGGAACTAAAAAGTCCACCCACTGTTCTTGAGTTTATTCTGACTCATAACTCGGAGACTATACATCTTTATAGGAGCAGACAGTCTCATCTCTCTCCTGAGGAGCGGCTGGTGAATTTGAATCACCGACCTTATGGCTAGCAGCCCAGTATTTAACCCACTACTCTACCAAATCTCCTTTAAACAGAACCAGTAACTCCTAATATCTGACTTCCTGCTCCTCTGAATCCCTGGCCATCTTTGTTGCACACATGCAGAAAGTTTTGTGTCCCTCTGGTGCTCTGGCAGGCATTGGAAAACTAGACACATTCTCTCCCCCAGGGAAGTAACCATCTGTGTGGAGGACGACATTTGATTGTTTGTTCACCTAGTGGTTCATTCAGTAGTTGGGGAGTACCTGTATGCACCAGGCACCGGTCTAAGAGCTGTCCAAGACAGTCCAGATGGACAAAGTCCCTGACCTTATGATCTCACTTACTCCTGACGGAGTCAAGTGCAGTGAAGGGGGAAAGCAAGCTGCTGCGATGGAGAAAGCCCAGAGGGCTTCCCTGAGGCAGTGTGGTCAACGGTGCTATTTGAACTGAGGCCCAAAGGATGAGGAGTCAGCCCAGCCCTAAGAGGAGCAGGGGGGTACAGGATTATGGGTGGAGGGGACAGAATGCATGAAGTCACTCATCCAGTCTCCAATTGCTAATAAATGGTGGAGTCAAGATTCAGACCCAGGTCTCTCTGTCCCTAAGGCATTAGTTTACCCTTCCTCTGGCTGTAGGCTGCCCCCAAGCCCACCCGCAGAACCCTATCAACAGTGCTTTTTATCTTTTGCAGCTCTAATAAGTGTATCATCACACCTTGAATTTGCTGTCATTTGCAGCTCTTTAATTGCCACAGAGGCTTGGTGGGTTTTTTTTTTCCTGTAGTGGCTTCTTCTGTTTCCTGGTGTGAAAACCACCTGTGGATCAGAGTCAGTGCTGGAGCGAGCTTTCTAAACCACATGCAGTCAGGAATCACAGGCCAGCCCGCCTGCCCAGTCAAGGGCTGCAGATGGGACCCAGTCTTCATGGCAACCCTGTGGGGTATCCCTGTTTCGCAAACGAGGACACTGAGGCTGAGCAAGACTGAGTAGGTGACTATCACAGGTCATGGAAGAGCTAAGATTGGAATTCAGATCCCCAGCTCTGAGCACCCAGCCCAGGATAGAAACTTGACTTAAAGTCATTTGGTGCCACATGACCCCACAGTAACAGAGCCAAACACAGAAGCTAGGTTTCTCAGACATTTAAGTTTTGTGTCCTTCCCAGAAAAGGGCACTTTCAGTTCTTTTAACCAATGGAAGTGGTGTAAATCAAGTTTCTGTCCTAGTCTGGGTCCTCAGAGCTGGGAGATTGGAGAGCCAGCCCAGAACTGGAGAGCTGAATTCCAGTCCTAACTCTTTCATGACCGGTGCAACCTCAACCTCTCTGAGCCTCAAATCTTCATCAATAAATGTGGCATGACACCCTTTCTTGAAGGCCAGTGGTGGGGGCTCAGTGTGACCATGCCTAATCCAGTCTGATCCATGGTAGGAAGAAATCTACCATTAGCATCTAAATTGTCTTTCCCTTTCTGACACCAGAGCAGGAAAGATCTGGGGAAGGATTGTATATACAGGGCAGAGAACAGGATGTTTGTAGGGAAGGTCAAAGGTGATCCTGGTTTTGGGTTTAGGGCAGACTTGCACACAGACCTTGTGCAGGGCCAGAAGCACACTCTCCCTCCCCACCTCTAGCCCTATGTATACACTGACTCATACAAGCTACATCTTCAGGTGCTCAGCTAGCTGATTGCTACTCTGTGTAGACCCCTGAGGGAACCTGGTGAACATGGCTTTGCCTGGGGGAGGCAAGGGAGACACCGCAGGTACAC